TGCATTCTCTCTTCCCTGTCACTCTTCTTTATTAAGTGCATTCTCTCACCTCCAGCATGGCCTTGTTAGAGTATTTCTTAGTTGCTCAGAGGAATGGGGGCACTGAACTAGATAATGGAAATTCAAATTTAAACAAACAAATCAGCAGACTTCTGATCTTGGCTTCTTATTCTTGATATTGGTCCCAGAGTAACCGCTTTCAACATTTTCAGCTGTTTCTTCTAATGCTTGTTTCCCTTTTTCTGAATTATACACACTTTCTGGTGCTTCTTGATATTTTCAGTTACAGATAGTATCTATTACTTGGAAATTGAGGATATAGGTCTGTTAACATACCATTCACCCAAAATACACTTCCTTTCCCTCATTAAAATAGTTAAAATTTACACTATATTGATCTTTATGCCTGTATCACTAATTACATTACCTTCTTACACACATAACTACACACACAACACATAACCCAATTACACAATAGTTATATTCATGCACACACTGAAGTGATATTGCTTATACTATTAAGGCTAGGGAATTATTAGAGGGCTCTCATCTGTGGTTGTATTGGTTGTGCCTTTGCAAAGACTTTTGAATCATCTGTTCAGAGAAAGGGAGGCTTTTTAAAGTTAGTAATTCCAGAGGTAGTGAGTCAGTTTTTCAAGTTGATGGGCATCCATATCTAACCAAGCAAGACAAAAAACATCACCTGTGCCTGGACTGGATCTTTATGTTTAAGTTCATTTTCTTAGACTTTTTCTCCCTAGAATTCACAATTCATACCCTCATTCAACCCGTATTAATTAAACTCCTTTATGCTTCAGGCAGTTTTACAAAAACTGGGGTGCAGAGGTGAACAAAAGACAAAGTATGTGTCCTCTTGGAACTTCCAGGTTAGGGGAAACAGGTAAACAAATGAAGGAAAAATATGTTAGGGATTAATAAATACAATGAGGAAAAACAAGTAGAATATGGAGAATAGAAAGTGCTGGAGGGAGGTAGCAGAGACTGCTAGCT